ACAGGAGCATATTTAAACAGTGGCTTATTTGTGTTGTCTCACAACTATTTAATGGAACTTGTGACCAGTGTTGGTCAAGTTACTTGAAAAAAGTAATCAGTAACTACTTACTGATTACTTCCCCCAAAAAGTAATCCCGTTACTATTTTCAAAAGTAATTAATTACTTAGTTACTTAGTTACTTTTTAAAAACACGATTTACAACCTGAATAGGTAATAAAGCGATAGATCTTTCAGCCCAATTCTACTTTTTCTGCATAATCCATCATACAAAATGTAATCAACGTAACGGTAATCTAATTACTGTTTTTTTGCAAGAGTAATCCCTTACTTTACTTGTTACTTTAAAAAAGTAATCAGATTACAGTAACGCGTTACTGCCCATCTCTGCTTGTGACACATTAATAAGTCTCTAACAGACTATAATATTTTTACTTTCATTTAAGGGTATGCGCTAGGTGTATGTTTCTTTTCTCTGTATTTCAGCAGATGTTTGAAAACTTTCTCCACTTGTGGTATTTATGTGATGTTTGCAAAATCAGTGCCAGTAACACCATCAGCTGTACTGAAAGACTACTGGGGCACAAACATACCTCTAAATAAGGAGGCAGATGCTAAAAACTTCTTTTTTTTCAATATTTGAAGAGTGATTATTATTATTATTATTATTATTATTATTATTATTTCCAGTATACATGAGTTCTCTCCTACTCGCCTGACAGCCTGCATCATCTGTGTTTGTTTGGCATTTCAAGCTGCAACCTGAAGATGGCAGCGATGGACATTTTGCAGCAAGTCAATGTGTGGGTGGTGTGCTTTGTAAAATTAAATTCTTAAATCTGAACTTGTTTCTAATCATCTTCAGTGACTAAAACCCTCAAGGAAAAAAGTTTGAAAGTAAAATGTTAATTCCACATGGAAACATTTCATTATAAAGAACATTACCACAAACAGACACTTACTATTTTATCCAACTGGAAGTTTGCTGTGTCTCAGCACAGTCTTAAGAGCTTAGAGGAGATTCCAGGTGACAGGCAGTTAGTCTAGGAGAGCTGGATAGGGTTGTAGAAGGCCCTTAGACCATCAGCAGGATGGTATCTACTCCTTTGTGCAAGGAAGAATGGCATGACCACTGCAAGAGCTAGAATATGACTTCCAAACCAGATACAAACTTCATAACAAGCAGTGTAGACTGGGCACAGTGCTCACTTTGGAGCCCAATTAGCATTTGACATAGAATACCAGATTTGAAAGGTCCAACACTGGCCACCCAGCGGTCATAGGAGTCATATCCATGGAGCCACACACAGACACCCTACAGACTAGGCAATAGGACTCTACTGTTAGGTATCAGGATGGACCTATTTTTAGATCCTACTCTCATGTAGTAGGTCCTGGGTTCCCCCTGGTGCACAACAATGCCTGGCCTTGTGGAAAGACAAGACTGTAAAAGACAGTTACAGTTCATCGCGGATGAAGGAATTGATACCACTGACTAGGGATGGGTATCGTTTAGGTTTTATCCGACACCGGTGCCAAACCGGTACTTTTGAAACGGTGCCGGTGCTTAAACAGTGCTCGAACCAGTGCTTAAAGAATGGAGAACACAAACTTTGTCCAAAAGCCTCTCATGTTTAGCTGCTTTTTGTAAAAAGATAACAATGTTAGCCTTTCCTGCAGCTATAGGGCATGTATGGTATCATTCTTGGCTGGAAGCAGTGCTTAAACAATGGAAAAAACACAAACTCTCATGTTTAGATGTTTCCCACTTTTTCTTTGGTCATTTTAGCCTTTTTGGCCAGGGTGAAGGGAGTATCTGCCATCAAACAAGAAGACAGCCACATGTAACTACAACGGTGTTTGCTAGTTCACCTTACATTCATTAATTTAATAATGTGGTTAGCCTACTCAACGTAAATTACACACGAACAACATTACGCTACTCGCCCAGAGAAGAACAGCTGCTGCTGCCATCATCATCCATCATCATTTCTGCTACACTGGCAGGGCTAGGGGCCAGGACTCTCCTCTTCGGGTTCTCGGGGGATGTTGCTAACCCCGGGTCCGATAACAGGCACAACACCCACAGTAGATGTGTTGGTGTGAGGTCTCGCAGCAAGTTATCAAATACGGTGAATTTCTCGGCTTTTAACAAAACGCTATACGTCGCCAGGTTCGTCATCAGATTCGAGGTGTTACCTCCTTTGCACAGTATCACAGTATCACCTTAAAGCACTTGTTGCAGGCTGCTGAGTTTGCATCTTTTGCTGTGAAGTACAGCCAGACTTTTGACTGCTTCGCCTTGGGCATTTTTAATCTGTAGCTCTGCTCTAAAAGAACATACGTACCTGGGCTCGCCTACTATCCTTGCAAAGGTAAAATGATTGGCTAGAATCCAAAGTGTATGACATCTCAGCAAAAAAAGCACCGAAATAAAGCACCGAAATAAAGCACCGAAATGTGCGCTGCTTTTCAGTCTGGTTACTACCGTTAGTTAAATGGTAGTAACCAGTACCCATCCCAGTACCCATCCCTACCACTGACTGCTCCCTCACCTGACCTACAGAACTCCTCTGGGACGTTATGTTTCGATCCATCCGACTGCACGAGGCTGCACCTCAGTCTGTCAAGGAGCTCAGTGATTCCCTGGTCCAGCTTGGGAGAAGATCCTTACAGCACTATACATTATCTGACTAGATGCATGCCCTGACATTATCAGGCATCATTTTGTTGCATCACTTTGATTTCAGGGGTCTTTTTGAAATTCAGCCCACTGATGGTTGATCTTCATACATCCTTTTGTTTCTAAGACATTACCCAGTCAACACCAGTGCAGATACCCTGGATGATATTTTCCCATTGAAATCATTGATTTGTTGTTTTTTTTTAAAACAAAGTATATAGAACCAGCTTTCCAAAGAAACGGAAGACTAAAAGTACAAAACAGACCTCTCTGCATTGAATCAATCTCTGGCTCTCTTCCTTTCTTTTATCCTGTCTTCCTCCTCTCGCCCCAACCAGTTGAGGCAGATGGAAGCCCCACCCTGAGCCTGGTTCTTCTGGATGCTTCTTCCTGTTATAAGAGAGTGTTTCCTTCCCACTGTTGCCAAAATGCTTGCTCACAGGGGATCATATGGTTATTGGGGCTTTCTCCGTATGTATTATTGTAGGGTCTACGTTACAATATAATGTGCCTTGAGGCAACTGTTGTTGTAGTTTGGCACTGTATAAATCAAATAAAATTGAATTAAATTGAATTATTAACATCTTTATGTTCCATCAGGTCAGTGGTTCCCAAACTTTTTTTGCTGGGCCCCCCTTGTTTTACAAGAAAAATGTTCGCGCCCCCCT